CAACATTATCCACCCAACATTTTTCATCCAACATTATCCACCCAACATTTTTCATCCAACATTATCCACCCAACATTTTTCATCCAACATTTTTCATCCAACATTATCCATCACCTCCTGGGTTTCCTTAGCGAATTTTGAAGCCTATAATGCATAAGTGAGAATGGAGATTTCAGGCACAGGTGAAACTGGCTGGTAGAACAAAGAGGCACCATTTGCTGAATGAGTGTTTTTGAACACACTTTCAGTCTAGGTGACATGCTGCCTGACAGTGACTCTGAAAACCAAATTTGTGTGGCCACACACAAGACATAAAAAACACATATGTAGATATCAATGTTATTGTAACTTTTAAACTATTATACCCTCTAACATATCCAGCTAACCTTAGATTAGCTAGACCTGAGATTATCATCATTAATGTCAAGATGTGACAACTCCTTGATTATATTTATAGTTATTGACAGAAGATGAGAATGATGAGGAATGGGGGGGCAGATTAAGAGATGCGATCTGATCTAGAAATCTCGCTCATTGGCCAGTTTAACAACATGTTATTCGTAGTCAGTGTAGGAATGTTATTGGTTGACTGAATAATTAGTTTATATGTTTGTCGGGTAGGCTCATCCCTAGCTTAATTGATTGGCACAACGCCACTGCTGTCTGATGGTTCTGTACCAGTGTGGCAGGTCATTCACGGTACCTGAGAGTGGAATAGTTCACAGGACACTTGGATGTCTCTGTCCCTGCTGTCATAAACTGCCCCAACACAGAAACCTACCACCTGAAAAGAAATAAACGCAATGAGAAGTCAATGGAGGGTCACACAGTAAGGGATGAACTGGGAATTGTATCCAGTGGCGTAGGAGAGAGTTTGATATTGGGGGGGGGGGGGGAAAAATCTAAACCGGGGGAGAGAGTTTGATAGGGGGGGGGGGGGAGACACAACTTAATAATTTAATTACAAAAGTCTATTTCTTGGGGGCTATGAATGAATCCACATTAAATATTGGAGGGAATATATCCCCCCCTCCCCCCTGGTCCCCCCCATCTCTGTGTATATCATGTTCAGAGGCGTAGGCCTGAAGCCCCAAATGAATCCAAATGAGTCCCCAATGATTTGTTCAGCTCAGATGTTTTAACAGCCACTCTCTCAGTCTGAGAACTGCGGATAAGACTCAGCTATGAGCATCCAAGCAACGCCCCTGATCATGCTCCAAATCAACTGAAAATCCTTAAGGGTTAATAGACTCTCGCGTACAGTTTTGTAGCCCTGATACCTACCTCTCCGTTTAAGTCTGTTGGCTGGCAGCGTCCAGTGTTTTCTTGCTCGAGGGTGCAGTCCGTCTCCTGGATGGTGTATTCCACAAAGCTGCCCAGTGCCGCCGTGCTCTGTACCATGTGGGGTTTATGGTCATCCAGCTTCTCACGACAACAGAGCTACAGTGGAATGCTGGACAAGACTGTGGTCTGCACTGCGTACCTGGGAGGCTCGGGTGATGCTGTGCAGCCTGAACTGCGAGCCGCTGGCTTTCTCGCCGTTATACTTGCGGAGGGTTAACCGCGCCGTCTGCAGGGCCTCCCTGCTGTCCACGGGCAGGAGCAAGGGGCAGTCGGGGCAAGTCTTCAGCAACGTCTCTGGTTGGTCTGCAAAAGCCCACAGCATGAGGTCTCTTTGAGCATTCATTCTCAGGGCATAATGCCACGTAGCTGCAAGTGAGCAAGCTGAAAGCTGACATGGAAGTTCTCTGATTTATAACGTGCCCAGATACACCGTGAAGGAAAGCTGAGTGTGTTGCGCGCTGAATGCAAATGCGGCGACTACCTGGGATGAGAATGCAGTCGTAGCTGTGCAGGTAAGAGAAGCCCTGCAGCGCATGCAGGATAGTGGTGTTGCAGTTTCCGCTGATTTGCTGAAATAAATCAAATGTTTTCAATCCACATAACATTGAAGCCCTATTTTAAATGTAGCAACTTTAAGCACTTTCTATGAACGATAGCTTTATGCAACTTTAAATAACTATATATCTATATACATTTTGGCGTTGCCTGAGACAAAAATAACCTGATTGCCATGGTTGCACATTTTTCTCCACACAAGACTGCAGTTTTTGCACAAATTGAACCCCCCCCCCCTCATCTGTTGTCTGTAGTAGCAGGTCTTTTAGGCAGCTATTCTGTAGTGATTGTTTTTTTTTCCTGGGGGAATAATTACAGACCCACTTTACGGAATAAATTTCAACTAAATCCTTCAAAAAGGAGAAAGCATAAATTACAGAATTTTGAAGGAATTATTCCAGGAGCCTTACTTTTACACACTTTTACAGAATATTTATATTTCAGTTTTCAGGTTATTAGCATTGGCATTTATTTTTTTCTTTTATGGCTCGTGTTAAAATCAAAAGTGCTTAGAAATGAAATGATATTTTCTTGGGTGGTTTAATATCAAGGAAATAATACAGAGTAGAGCTCCTTTGTAGCCCTGACTGCATAAGATACCATCAAGGATCAGTGATTAGACCTGGTGGCTGTGGAGGCCATGGAAGGCGTTAGGAATCGTCCTGGTCTTTATGAAACTACTCTTGAATCTGTGTCTTGGCGGTATGTGGTGTATAATCCCGGAATACGGCAACATCACGAGGAAACACTTCTTGGACCACAGGGTGCACCTGTTCTGCAAAATGGCCTCACAGTCCTCAGTCATTGTATGAACACACAAGGCTATTTAGACCTAATGGAAGCCATGATATCACTGCCCATACCGGCAGACGTGGTGTTTTGAAGGCATCCTTCAGCTTTCTGCAAATGTAAACCTGTCTGGATGCAGAAAAAAGGGTGAATGATGATTCATCAGACTATGTGGCTTTTTTTCCATTAGTGTCAGTTCTGTGCTCCTTAATGTCCCAGGGTTTGTGTCTTTGGCCTTGGATACAAGCAGCCTGGGAATGGAATATATCACAGCTTCATGAATCTCATGACACACTTTCTGTCGACACTCGATTTGAGAGATGCTCATTCAGTATCGTGGTATTTTGTGAGCCTGTACTTTTTTGATGTTTAGAATTTGTCTGTCTGGGTTTGTCTGGGTGAGTGTCAACCTGCCACCAATGTTAAATATTCTGTATTTTAATTTCAGTATGGACATTACAGGACCTGGATTCCTTACTGTTTCCATAAAGGGTCTGATGTCACATCGCTTCCAAGGCTTTGGGCTCCCCACGTGGCATTTTGTCTCCAGCACCTCCAGATCCAGATAGTAGACCTTCCCAGCCGGGCCCTGAAGACAACGCAGATGCACCGCTTCACGTACCGGACACGCCTGCGCACATCCCGGGAGCTGCCTCGCGACACTGTGCTCCCTGCGTAATACCGTGAGATCTGACGCATGAACAATGTGCCGTCATTAAATTCTATACTGCCAGTGAAAACAAAACCGCCCAATTTCTCGTAGAATTAAAGAGAGAAGACGTGATTGAGGCCCTGGGTCTGAGAGAAAATAACAGCAAGAAAATCAATTATTGTTACGTTTCCTTTGAATAGCAATCATCTGGATTAGTAGAGACATCATTTTAAACATTAATGTAGCCGATTTCATTTAGTGCCCAGCACAGAAAACCATCTATGCAAATGTACTAAAGCTATTAATTTAACCCAAGCAATAACAACCATTATTATTATTATTAATTATTATTATTATTATTATTAAAAGAATAAATTGTTTATTTACCAATTTAATTACTCCAAAACAGATTTCATATGCTCTTGAACTTTTTTATACGGTGGAACGTATGTTTCCTGTTTAGGTGCGGGCTATGTTCGTACCCCTATTTCGCAAGCTGTAACGAAAATAAAAACGACCAACCTGTGCATGAAGATGGACGTTCAAAATTCTGTTGAGGCTAAATTTGTAGCCCACGGTTCTGTCCTCATTGACATAAGTAAGCGCCAGTCGGGATAACTTCTCCACTGTCTTGTCATTGCAAGGCACAGGTACTATGTCGCTAGTTTGCGCCCACGAGACAATCAACGCAGGAAATAAACACAAGATGCATTTTCTCATTTTGATAATCATACGTGACTTTTATAATTCGATTAGCGAAACGCGGAGTTTTCTCTATGATTATGTCCTGCATCTATTTGTACTTGGCAGGAAAAAGGACTTTGCGATTGGGGTTAGACAAATATGATGTTGAAATGCTGCCAGAATTCTGAGAAACACAGAAAGTGCTCCTCTTCTGCGGCGTCGTAAAACTCGTGGGTTTTGTTATTTGAGCAGTGCAGGCCTATATGCCGTACCAGACCATATGAATACTAAATGTTTACTCTTTGTATTGAATCAACCGAAATATTTTTTTTGAAAATAAATATAATGACCATGCAATAGGTCGTACTACACATGGCTCTGATTTCTGTACTTCATGCATACATTGAAACACAGTACTGGTTTTTAAATCTCTTTTCTTCAGTTTTACGGTCTCGGATTATTTGTCCCGTTTGTTTTTATTTAAATTAACATATTTCTGCTAGCGCACATTATATATTAATATGTTCATTCTGTTTCGCAGTTCGTTTCTTTTACGCTTTTTTACTGATCAAACGTTTGGAGTAATAATATCTTGCAGTGCGGTGAGTGAACCGCAGGAGGGCAGTAGTGTTCCCTATTTCTGATAACTATCGCAAAGGCTCGAGGTCCCTAAAAGCAGGCTTTTGGACAGTTCGAGAAAAACTGTATTCATGAGTATGTCATATAATATAACAAATCATCATAAATGCACAGCCTAATTAATTAAAACTATATAACTAAGTTTTAGTCTAACGTTAAAAATATGTGGTGCCGAAATGGTACAGTTAAACATTTCAATGATAAAGGAAATGGCATGTATACTTAAAATCGACCCATCACAACGATAATCGCTACAATAACAAATGAAAGCCTGAAATTATTAAGAATTAGATTTCATGTTGCGTTTAGGTTTAGTTGAATTAATTAAGAAGTATATCTAAATACTAGGTATGTATAATTATAAGCCAGTGGATTTTATACACTGTCCATTTTAATATAGCCTTATATATCCAAATTAATCTGAGTTTTTGAGAAAGATATCTCTGAAGAGATTCCGCAGTATATTCTCCATGGAACACAATGTCTCATGGGGATTCAAAAACATTTTGTAAATCTGCTGAATTGCTCAAATGTGCTGTTTGCAATTTAATTTGACAGGGAGTGTGGGTTAAAGATGCAGATGTGTGAAGGTGTCTGTGATGGAATTTTGTATTGCAATGATGTTTACTTTAAACCTTCAGTAGACAGTGGTAAATCATTTGGGTGTTTCATCTTGAAGTCATAATGCCCAATCTTATGTGTCTGGCTAAATAATATTAACTAATAGTACCCCATCATCCTCTGGGTCTTTGAATAAGAAAAAAATGTTAGCAAAGAAAATAAAATATTTTAACAGCAAAGTGTTTTACCATATCCTTGCGGATTTAAGAAGGAAAGGAGGAAACGGGTAACAAGTTTATCATGCAAAGATGTGACATAACAAAACAGACAATTGTGTCCAAAAGGCAATTCAGCTATTATGTGACTATAAGAGAATATGACAGCAAGGATTTAGGCTTTTCATCAATAAGCCTCTCCAATAAATCCAAAGAGAAAACATCCTCTGTAGCATTTATCTGGAATAGGGTCACAGTGTGTTGGCGGGACACTCCAGAACGGGGCCCAGTCCTTTGCAGGGCAGATGCACTCACCGTCACACTAAAGGCAGTTTAGAGACAAGTTCACCCAAGTGCACGCTGTTGGACCGTAGGAAAGTCAGGGAGACCGTGCAAAATCGACACACTCAGAGCCAGGAGCAGGATTTGAAGGCCAAATTTCTAGCCAATGCACCCCCCCGAAGAGGAATTATATCACTCAAATTACCGATAACTTGACAACAACTTCAAATTTTGTTCCAACAATCGTTGGCTATTGGTTGTGATATCATCATACAGTATGTTTCAGATGTTTATTTGTTCACTAAACTGGATAAATAGGGTAATTGAATAGATTCACAAGCTTTTATTTTGTGTGTCTCAGCTGGCACCAATGAAGC